CAGGATTTTTGATTGGTTGATTGTTTGGACTTTATTAAACAAGACCGTTTCCCCGGCAACGGCGCCAAAAACTTGACCGGGCTAAACTTGCAAGTGTACAAGTGCCGATATAGTAATAAATTCCGGTAAAATACCGGGTCGAATCCACAGGGAAACGTTGTTTAATTTAGTCCGAGAGTAGATGACTTTAAATAAATAAATGAGTAAAGTGCAGGGATTTTGAGTTGTGTGTTGTTGTGAAAACAACAACTTGATTCTTCTTTTTAATTTTCAGAGTGATTGATAACAACAACTAAGGCTTCGGGAATCACTTAAATGCTTTAATAGGGTTGAATATTAGTTCTTTACCAATAATTATGAATACGATGTCGCTAATATATTCTCAACTCCGGTTAAGGCAGCGAGAGTGTGGTTTTCGTTACGTGTAAGTCCCGTTACGGCTTACATTCATCTACCGAAAACCCCGTTGAATATCAAGACATCACACCCGTATCATATAATACCGGATATATCTCTATTCTCGGTAATATATATGTTTATTCTTTAATGTTCATAGTTTAGACCTCAACGTTAATTGCAAGCATAAACTAAGTTTAACATACTTCTATGTTGTACACCATAGTCATAAACAATCAAAATGTAAAGGATAAATCACAATTTGGCTGCACGTCTTTGTGTTTTATGCAGATTCGGGCTTAACCGGCGCCGGTTTTAGGCTTGACCGGCGCCGGTTTTACTTCGGGGATGGAATAATAATGAAAAACACCATAACCGGCGCCGGTTATAGGGTAAAACCGGCGCCGGTTATACTTCGGCCGACCGGGATAATAACGGATTAAATGCAACCGGCGCCGGTTTGGTGAAATTCCGGCGCCGGTTTTGTCCTGGGATTTTGGGGATGTTCCGCTACGAATTTGGACATGAGTCCTTCATCAAAGTTGTAGATAATGAAGTCTTCTATCCACCAAAACTTGAATGACGTGATTTTATTCAGCCAATCAAACGATATGGATAAAACACTGAGCGGTATGCATCCTGAAATCCCACCAGCAACATCTGACTTTGTTGGTTGATTGAGTCTTGTTCCCTTCATATTTTGGCCATGACGTATTCATAACATTTGTACCTTATTGAGTTAGCATTCACATGAAACTCGAATCGAGTGATTTCGAGTTCTCTACAATACGTTATACTCGAATTATGGACATAACGTCATTCTCTTGGTCCAAAAAGCCCTGCATCGCAATGTTTTATGCTCTAGCTCTCATTCTGGAGGTATTTGTCCGATTTCTCTTCTTTTCTTCAACAAATACTTATAAATACTTATGTTGAACACAAGTAAATATAACGGCTATCAGAAACGAAAGGAGAATTTTGGGGGATGAGCTTGGGTGAGATTTGGTTCCGTAATGCTTAGACCAGTTAGCAGTACTCTCAACTTTAGGAATGCTAGTACTCTCTTTTTTAGACTCTGAGTCAACTTTGAAGGTGCCACCAAACATCTAGCCCGGGTTGTCCACCCACGACACAACTTTCAGCTCATTTAAGGGTGCAGATAACTCCTTAAACCTCCAGAAGAAGTGAGACAACATCCTGAATATGAAAACAATAAATCACATATGAGTATTCCATTCTATATATACTTTTTATCACAAGAAATCAATGTATAGCAAGTGTGGTGCACATCTTCCACCCATCAAGAACAAAGAGTATGAGTACAGTATTCCTATATAATTAAAGGAAGAGGGGACAGGCTTTTTGTTCTGGTTGAGACGATGCACAAATGGTTCCGATCAATAAATACATATCTTTTTATAACATCTCATCATAAATAAATCATAAGGAAGGAGGCATCATCAATGCGTAAAACCAGCTTGGATCAAGCACTGCACACGCAATTTGGGGCAGGGTATTCCATCCTCCTCATCACTTCAAAAATATATCCGATCCATTTATAACTGAGCAGCAAAAAGTGCTTCAACCAAAAACTCGTAAACCGAAAAACCAACCTCACAAAATCATTCATATACAAACTAGCTTAAAACACTTAAAAACATAAAAAAGGTTCACTAAACAAACTAAAGTCTAAACAAAACCTTTAGTACATAAACATGTAAGACTGACTTCTAGGACCTAAACATTCATTTCTATAGGTTGAAAAAAAAATTGACTCGCTACACTACACGTCATATAATTGCTAGAAGTAAATATTTATCACCAAAGTATACTAAAATTGTTCTTCACATGAAAAAAAAACATCAAATGTTTACAACGAATATATAAAAAGCAATTTACTAAGCCCTCTTTCCCAAAAATCTTAAATATGAACAAGAAATTCATCGAATCACTAAAGTTTTAACTAAAGTTTTTAATGATTAACCTCACAAACCTATATCAATGAAAGGAAGTAGTCAAAATTCCAACATGATAACATATACAGAGTATAATTTACTTAAAATAGCAAAAGCATACTACTCAAATAAAATAGTCAATAAAAATAATATATAATTATTTAAGTTGGGAAACAAGAAAATTAGATTATTGAAATAATTAACAAACAAGGAGAGTAAAAGTCTTGAATTTAAACAACAAAAAAATCATTGAGTCATTTCAACAAACATGTTATGTGCATAAATGTGAAATAGAGTAATTGAACTAAAACTTTAATAACTAACACCACATTCTCTAACAATAATACAAAATGCTCAACTATTAAGGCTTATACAATACCTAATATACAAAAGAATCAAAATTTTTAAATAAAATAACCCTAAAATGCATAGTGAAAAATCGAATTAGAATATTACCTCAATATTATAGGTTGTTGATATGAACTTCCTGTTTGAGCTGCGAAAACACTGTCCCATCCTCGTAGATGTTTGCATAGATTCCAGCTGCAACCACCATTGGTGTTGGACTCGGATATAAAGAGGAAGGACTAAAGGGCTACAAGGGGAAATGGCCATTATGAAGATGTTGGTGGCTGAAACAGTCGACTCTGGTTGGTGTTGGTGCAAGAAGAAAGTAGACCTGCACAAACGCGGGTTCGGGCCGGGCTCGGGCCGGGCTTATTCTAAAAAATCTGCCCATTTGTAGTGGGCGGGCCCGGCCCGGCCCGGTACAACGGGCCTCCTCATATGTCCAAGCCCGCCCAAAAGAGCGGGCCGGGCTGCCCGCCGGGCTTTCGGGCCCGGAAAAATTATCCCCTTTAATTTCTATTTTTTTTTAAAATCGTAAACGTTTGTAAAATACTTTTATGAAATACACACACGATTCTAAAAAATAAAAACCATTCAAATTTAGAACTAACATCAGTATTTAAAAATTTAATCACAATGTGCAAACAATAAATAAAAGTACAATCAGAATGTGCAATGAGAATAGTCAAAGCATAAAAGTATCTTAAAAGACTTGATATGTGTCCAGTACAAAACAGTTCAAGTTTTAAGTAACACGGGGTACTACTTTATTGGTCCGATCTAATAGCAGTAGCTTAGCTAAGGTTTCATGTTGGCCTTCCTTAATGATAGTAATTTTTTGTGTATATATATAAAATATAATTTATATATATAATTATATGATATATATACACACATTTAACGGGCCGGGCTTTTAGGCCCGCCGGGCCTATATTAGAATCCAAGCCCGCCCATAATTTAAACGGGCTCGGGCCGGGCCGGGCCGGTGGGCTAAATTATGTGTCCAAACCCGCCCATTTATATGGGCGGGCCGGGCGGGCTGGGCGGGCCGGCCCGGTTTTGTGCAGGTCTAGAAGAAACAAAAGAAGAAGAACCAAGGGAAGGAGAATAAAAGTTACTCCGTATAAGAATAAACGAAGAAGGAGAGAGGTAGCAAAAGAAAGAAAAGAAGGGTGGAGAGGGAGAGAGAAGGGTAAAGAAAAAGGAAAGGGAGTAATTTTTTGGGATATATATAGTGTGTATAGGTGTGTGTATAAATGTGTGTACAAATAGCAAATCTGATGTCCAAATATAGAGTGTTTCTCTCTTGAAGGTGGACTCTTTTACGCGTGCTTAGAGAGCGAGGGGACCATTTAGTTATATGTGATCTAGAAGGTAGTGCGAGCTCAAGGGTTTTGACGTGTTTTCAAGTTTTTCGTTCTTGATCAACTAAAGTTTAAGCTTTTTCCTTTAAAAAAAAGTATGGCACCCTTAATGGCTAAGTCCCATAGCTTTTCGCTATACTTTACAATTGTCAAGCCCTCCATGGTATATAAATTTGATGGCTAAGTCCCATAGCTTTTCGCTATATTTTATAATTGTCCCAAAAAATTATCCCTCTCCTTTCCTTTTTCTTTACCCTTCTCTACACACTATATAAGTCCCATGGCTAAGTACACACTATATATATCCCAAAAAATTACTCCCTTTCCTTTTTCTTTACCCTTCTCTCTCCCTCTCCACCCTTCTTTTCTTTCTTTTGCTACCTCTCTCCTTCGTTTATACTTCGTTCACATATAACTAAATGGTCCTCTCGCTCTCAAGAGAGAAACACTCTATATTTGGACATCAGATTTGCTATTTGTACACACATTTATACACACACCTATACACACTATATATATCCCAAAAAATTACTCCCTTTCCTTTTTCTTTACCCTTCTCTCTCCCTCTCCACCCTTCTTTTCTTTCTTTTGCTACCTCTCTCCTTCTTCTTCTTCTTCTTCTTCGTTTGTAACTTATATAAATTAAATTTGATGGCCAAGTCTCATAGCTTTTCGCTATATTTTACAATTGTCAAGCCCCCCCTGCTATATAAATTTGATGGCTAAGTCCCATAGCTTTTTGCTATATTTTACAATTGTCAAGCCCCCCATGGTATATAAATTTGGGAGATTAGGGTGGACCGATTTTAAATGTCTACAAAATAAGTGTAGTATTTTGGTTTTATATCTTTTTTGTTTACATAGAAGATAATTATCTATATAAAGAAAATGACAAATGACTACCATCACACATATTAATATTAAACATATGCATGTACATTTTTTTAAATATGCTTTATAAATATTAAACATATGTATATGATAGATATACTAGATACTTCTTTGCCCAGAAGCAATCATAACGTATCGTTCCACTTTTATTGGATGTCCCCGAAGGGACAACGACATTAATCATAACGTACTATATATACATGTAAGTCTAAAACGAAATGAGAGTTTACATAAATCGACACACTACAACTAATTGCAACTCTTTCTTCGGTCTTTGAGGCAATGCAAACCCCATCAGCTAGGAAGCAGTTCTTCTTTTGGATATCTGAGGATGCTCAATGTATGATCTTGTCCAGCTCCCATCAATGCCTCTTATGAATATACGGGGTTGTCCAGCTGGAAATGTCTCTTTCCAATCCGGGTGCTTGATAAAAAAATCACATTCCCTGAGAGCAAGAATTGAAGCATCAAACTTTTTTTCCCATCAAACTTTAAATGCACACACTGGCTAGCTACTTGTTAATTGAAAAAGAAAACGAGCAAATTATAATATATACGATCGAGTAGCTAAGATTTGATCCTATGGGAGGATCTACGTACGTTATGACAATGGTGAGGTGAAGAACGGGGCAACTTAAAAATTTCAACTTTTAAGAGTAATTTTTTCACTTTTCATATTTAGCTCATCCCGCTTATGTTCAAGCCTAGTATACTTACTTTTTGTCTTAGTCTAACCTAGTTCCTGATCCGCCCTTTGTATGATACCCAACAAATGAACGTAGAAGTCCAAAAATATATACGGAGTAGCTTATGAGCTACGTAATAGTTTATATTAATTAGGAATAATTATGTATTTTGGCAACTGATATTTATTATAAATATACCTGCCAAGGCTCCTTTCGGAGTACGGCTTTCCCTTAATTCTCACATGGTATCAGAGCCAAACCTAATTTCTCCTTCTCTAAATTTTTTCCGGCCGCCTCATGAGTTCATCTATGACCTCGGCCGCAGCACTGGCTTCGACCACCGTGGGCTCTTCTGCCGCTTTCGTCATCACCACGGCGCCGGAAGCCTCGATCCCCACCACAGCTATGACGACGCCACCAGCATCTTCCTCCTCGGTTTCTGCCAATTTTTCAAGCAGCGTCATCACCTCTCCGCTGTTTCGACCTTCGTCGTCAAGTATGTTTGCAAACTTTCCTCCGCCACCAAACTTCTCTACGGCAGAACCCTACAGTCTCTTTCAATCGCTGCAACCGCGCTTCTCGGTTCCGCCTCCAGTGAGTCTCCCTGCCGCTGTGCCTGCTTCTCCAACGCCACCGCCAACCTCCCCGTTTTTTGGCTCTACGTTCTCCGGCACTTCAGGTATTATTCGACCGGCTGATCACACGGGTTTCGGCTCTCCTATGTCGGCCCTTGCTCAGTCCGTGTCGCATATTACCACGATCTCTCAAATTGTTACTATCAAGTTGAAGGCAGTGGAAGATTATCTCACTTGGCGCACTCAGTTCGAGTCCTTCTTGGTTTCTCAAGGTCTATTTGGTGTTGTTGATGGCTCTATTGAGGTACCCCCTATGTATACGATTGATTTTGCTAGCCGTCAAGTTTCAAATTCCGAATATTATTATTGGTTACGAGTAGATCAAACAATTCGTTGTTGGTTGTTTGCTACTTTAACTCGGGATGTTTTAGTTGATGTTCATGACTTAAAACATTCTGCTGCTATCTGGGCTAGACTTCATACTCGATTTATGTCTGCAAGTCTACCACAGTGCATGGAACTTAAACGGTTATTGTCCACAATCAAAAAGAAAGAAACGCAGTCTATGGAAGTTTATTTACGCGACATCAAGAATTTAGTAGATGCGCTTGCTGCAATTAATTCCCCTGTTTCGGACAAAGAACTTCTGGAATATATTTTGGCTAGATTGGGCCCGAAGTATCGGTCACTTGTTACGACTGTGTCTTTATTTCCCCATCAATTTCCGTTTGATATTCTGCAACCTCCTCTCTTGGAAGAAGAACAGGGAGTTCTGTCCGAGCATCAACAAGTTTCAGCCGGCCATCAAGCGTTTGTAGCTGTTGCTGCCGGTGGACAACAACCGGCTGGATATCCAAATCGCGGCAGAGGAGGCCGCGGATGGGGTGGCGGTCGCGCGCGGCAGGGGTCCACCGAATTTTTACAATCAACAGCAGCAACCTGGTGCTCCCTATTACGGCCAGCAGCAAGTCGTCGCACCAGCACACCAATTCAGCGGCCAGCAGGGGTCGCAACAACAGGGGGCTGGGCCGAGCCAGCTGGGTTACGGGTTCGGTCCACACGGGCAGCAGGTTACGTCTCAGGGGGTGGCGTCTCCTCGTCCACATACTACAGGTTCTGCATGTAATTCGGTTTTGTCAACTTTAAATATTGATCCCTATTTCATTCATGATACTTATACAAGCACTGCAGGTTTTCCATCGGGTGAGGGCATCCTTCGTTTTGTTCCACCACCCGTTGTTTGTCAATTGTGTTTTTCTGTAGGTCATTCCGTTCTTCAGTGTCCGTCTCATTATAGTCAGCCATCTGCTTCTGCTCTTCTGACCTCCAATAATGGTGAATCCAATGTTGCTTTATCGTACCCTGACTCTGGGGCTTCGGCTCATATAACTCCTTCGGAAGGTATTTTAGTTAATAAATCTCCTTATACCGGTCCACTTTCTGTTAGTTTAGCCAATGGCTCTAAACTTTCGATAGCTAATATTGGGGATGTGCATTTAAATTCTACTAGCCGTTCTCTCACGTTAAAATATGTTTTTCATGTGCCTCATATTAAATTTAATTTATTATTCATTCAAAAACGTTGTGCTGATAACAACTGTGTTGTAATTTTTGATAAACATTCTTTTTTTGTTAAGGACAAAACTTCGGGGAAGGTCCTTCTTCAAGCACTTAGTCATGGTCATCTATATCCAGTCAGCCTCAACCCCAAGCCTCCACTAGCGTTATCTTCCTTCACCTCATTTGGCCATGTGTGGCATCGTAGACTAGGGCATTGTGGCAACTCTATTTTACGTAGTTTACATAGTCAATGACACATTTGTAGTAGCTCTAGTTTTTCTCATGATTGTATTTCTTGCCACTTAGGCAAATCTCAACGTTTACCCTTTACGGATGCTAGTCATACTTCTACTATGTCTTTACAATTAATTCATTCTGATGTTTGGCAATCTCCCATTTTATCTAATTTGAGGTTTAAATATTATGTGTGCTTTATTGATGATTTTTCTCGCTACACTTGGCTTTTTCCCATGCGCACTAAGTCTGAGGTTTTTCACCATTTTCAAAATTTTAAGTCCTTAGTTGAAAATCTCTTTAACACACGAATTAAAATTTTTCAAAGTGATGGAGGGGGTGAATTTGTTAATTTCAATATGCGGCAATTTTTTTACCTTCATGGAATATATTTTCGAAAATCATGTCCTGAAATGCCTCAACAAAATGGGGTTGCTGAACGAAAACATCGACATTTATTAGAACTCACTCGGACTATGCTTCTTGAGTCATCTCTTCCTAGTCAGTTTTGGGTAGATGCCATTTTTACGGCCGCATATATTAGTAATCGTTTACCCTCTCCCTTACTGTGTGGTCATTCTCCATATGAAAGACTTTTTCAAAAACCACTTGACTATTCCTTTATGCGTATGTTTGGTTGCTCCTGCTTTCCAAATATTTCTGTCACTTCTTCCAACAAACTTTCTGCTCGTTCTGTTCACTGTGTTTTTATTGGCTATGCATCTGGCTATAAAGGGTATCGTTGTCTTGAGCCTAAGTCCGGTAAAGTTTATGTTAGTCGTCATGTTCGCTTTCTTGAAAATAGTTTTCCATATACATCCTTGATGTCCTCCCTGCCTGACCCATCTTCCCAACCTGCAACTACCGACTTCCTATTGACTAACACTCTTAGGCCGTCCCACATACAACCTGTCAACCAAGCTTCCCAAAACTCGTCCAGTATAGCAGCACGGTCGGCAGCGGGTCCACTGACTCCCGTTCCCCCGTCTGCGGCTACTGGCTCGGCAGCCACTCCAGCCACTCCCAGTCCAACCAGTTCCATCCATTCCTCTCCTCCTCCTTATGACCAGACTCCACCCGACTCCCCACATAGCCAGAACTCCCAACAACGGTCCAACAGCCCATCTGCCTCACCCGAAACTCCATCTCCCAGGCACCATACTTCCAGCTCTTCCACTTCGGCGTCTGCTGCTACCTCCTCCAGTGTGTCCAACCCGTTATCCACTCCTATCTCCAGTCCGTCTCCTTCGCCTTTGAATGTTCATCATATGCAAACCCGGGCTAAATCCGGTATTTTTAAGTCTAAATCAATTTTTACATTAAACACGGTTGTTAACTCAGCGGATCCGACTTGTTTTTCTGAGACACATAAGAGTTTGGTTTGGCGTGAGGCTATGGCTAAAGAATTTAATGCACTTATTTCTAATAATACTTGGGATTTAGTTCCATTTGATAGCACTAAGAATGTGGTTGGCTCTAAGTGGATTTATAAAACTAAATTTCATTCGGATGGGTCGATTGGGCGTCATAAGGCACGTTTAGTTGCACAGGGTTTTAATCAGCAGGCTGGGGTAGATTTTTCTGAAACTTTTAGTCCTTTCGTTAAACCTACCACTGTTCGTATTGTACTCTCTCTTGTTATTTCTTTTGGGTGGATTATGCGTCAGTTGGATGTGAAAAATGCATTCCTTCACGGTTACCTTACTGAAGAAGTTTATATGTGTCAGCCGCGGGGTTTTATTCATCCTCACTTCCCTCATTATGTGTGTCGTCTGCGCAAGGCTATTTATGGCCTCAAGCAGGCCCCGCGGGCTTGGTTTCATCGTTTCAGTAGTTTTCTACTTACTCATAATTTTGTATGTAGTAAGTCTGATAATTCTCTTTTTATTTTTCGTCAGGATCAGTCAGTTATTTATTTATTATTATATGTTCATGATATTATTGTTACTGGCAATTCTCCATCTCTTGCGTCTTCCTTTATTAGTTGTATTGCGTCTCATTTTGCTATGAAGGATCTTGGTGATCTCCACTATTTTTTGGGGGTCCAAGCTGTTCGAAACTCTAAAGGAGTTTTTCTATCTCAGCAAAAATATGTGTCTGATCTTCTTCTTCGATTTCATCTACACACTCTCAAGTCTGTTCATACACCTTTAGCCACTCGCACTACTCTCTCCCTCACAGATGGTGAACTTCTTGCAGATGCTACTGAGTATCGTATACGACGTATAGTAGTATGGTAGGTGCATTACAATATTTAAATTTGACTATACCTGATATTACTTATGTAGTTGATTTAGTGTCTCAGTTCATGCATGCTCCACGCACTACTCACATGCTTGATGTCAAGCGTATTTTCTGATATTTACAGGGCACTATTGATCATGGGTTATGGCTCCAGGCGTCTACTAATCCCATTCGTATTTTGGCTTATTCTGATGCTGATTGGGCGGGATGTCCTAATAGCTCTCGTTCTACTTCTGGATTTGCCATCTTCTTGGGTCCGAATCTTATATCCTGGAAGTCCAAGAAGCAGCCTACTGTGTCTAAGTCATTCACGGAGGCAGAATATAGAGCCATTGTAAATACAGTGCAGGATACCCTTCACATTCGCTCCATTCTCTTCGAGCTTGGTCTACCGGTTCGTGTTCGTGTTCAGCTCTTCTGTGATAATATATCTGCCTCATATCTGACAGCTAATCCAGTTCAGCATGCTCAGAGTAAGCATATTCAGATTGACTACCATTTTGTTCGGGAAAGAGGTGCTCATGGTGATTTGGTTGTTCAATATGTTCCTACACATCTTCAGCTCACGGATATATTTACTAAGAGTTTGTCTAGTCAGCAATTTCATTTTTTAAAAGACAACTTGCGCGTTGTATCTCCCGCACAGCTTGAGGGGTATAATAGTTTATATTAATTAGGAATAATTATGTATTTTGACAACTGATATTTATTATAAATATACCTGTCAAAGCTTCTTTCGGAGTACGGCCTTCCCATAATTCTCACACTACGTAGTACTCCGTATAAGCTAGTGAGATATATACAAGTAGTATACAACCAATTAAGCTATTTGCTACGTAGTATTATTTAAGTTGCTAAGCATCAACTCACATATTATAAGTTGTTTTTACCAATTAAGCATGCATGCCTTTACTAATTATGAGACTTTCTTAGTTCACATTCAAATAAAAATGATTAATAGAAAAATTTACAGGCTATGAAACTTAATTAATTACACTAGTTGAAAACATATTTTAATTTATCTACTCGTTCAACTTGGTATAAATTATTAGTAGGATGTTATGAAAGAGTATATGTCAAGTAGATGTAAAAAAACAGGTTAGTTCCACATAACAGAGACCACGGAGTATCCCTCCTGCCCAAAATTACAGTCTTGTTTCTTTTGAGTACAAAATTTAAGAAAATGGGAAGATTTGGATAACAAATTACCATTTGTAAATATTTAGAATTATAAAATTAAATTTACAATGGATATTTTATACAATAAAAATGTGCCCAAAAATGAAGCAATAGTATCAACTATCAATATATGAATAAGGAAAAAATGGGACGATATTTGGAACAGAGGGATCAGGGTTGTAATTTACCTTCTTATTAAAGTTGCGTAGAAAGAAACATCTTTTTCACTAACGGGAGTAGTAAAAGAATTGTTAATTATTTCACGATCAGGTAGCTTTTGGCGTGCTTCACGACTTTTCACAAAATTCATGTCCCTGAATATATAATAAGGAAAAGGTAGGAGCACGTAAAATTTTAAAGAAGTGGTAGCACTACTAACGTACGTAAATAGGATAAGTACATGTATTTCATTGAATTGACATAAATTAGTGAAAATGATCGTTTTATCTAATTTTTCATCTAATTATCTATTTATTTTATTAGTAGATTATATTTTAGACCTATATTACCTCCGTTCCATATTGGTTGTCCTGTTTCAATTTGACACGATTATTAAGAAAGTGGTTGAAAAGTAAATATTGTGGTTCAGACTTAGTAAAATAGAGTGAAATAATAGGAACCACATATTGCTTGCCAAAAAAGAAACGAGACATTCATTTTGGAACAATCAAAAAAGAAAAGTAGGACAAATAAAATGGGATGGGGCGAGTGAGGTTCAACTACTTGAATGGCGTAAACCAAAAGACATAGGTCGGTGGGTAGGATCGTACCAAGGGCAGGGAGTAATAACAAACTTGTCGGAGCGAGTGTCATATGTGTCTAGCAACCTGTCATCTTCCCAAGTGGCAGGGCAAAAAAGAGCAGTGTTTAGTCGAGCTTTCCTAACGACTGAATCTGGGCATATTGTTGCGTTGTCAAACCATCCAGGAAATATTAACCCACTCGCAGTTTCCACCTATCAATCAATAAACGACATGATTGCATGTATACAAACGTTTACGCACGTGGGTGAAAGTTTTTTTGTTGGTAAATACATTGTTCACAGATAAAACATGATTACATGCATACCAAAAAACCGGAAAACATTGGCTGAGAATTTCCCTGTTTATCATAGCTGGTGTTGCGATTAAGAGTGTGCAAAGTTTTCATATTGAATCTCTTGGTGCTTTTACAAAGAAATTCGATTATCTTCACACAAATTTCATAAGAAATTCCTTCCGTGCGGGTTTCACTTTCTTCACGTGGTGCCTCATTGTGACCATTTATTATATGCACCTGCGCGCATATCATACGTACCACCTCAATTTAATTACCATTAAGCAGCACAGTTATTCACTGGACCTCATTTAATTTGTCTCCACCCACATGTGTAGTATCCATACACATGTGGTCATTTTCACAATTACACAAAATTCAAATACGGTTTTTATAATTATTCCTAAATAATTACAAAAACATCACATAATCAATATTAACAAATGAATGATGAAGATTAGAAGTTATATGGGTCTCATTCTAAGAGGGTATTACTTCGTATTAGAGAATTGAATATAGATATATACATACATCAACAATTTCATTCTCGCTCTCTTCATCCATAAGGAGGGATGACAACATTCGGTTGAGGCCTTTATCAACAACTTTTGGAAAATCCACATGAGCAACACTTATCCTACACACATCAATTAAAATTGATCATATAGTTAGATAGTGATAGGCAACCGGTGCAGCAGCCCATTCAATACTTCAATAAAGTGTATACGAGGAGAAATAAGAAGTTTTATCCCTGCGTGGATATGAGCTATAAATAGAATTCGAAGGGTAATAGCTAAATAAGGTAGGCTGTTATTCAGTTGGTGTTTGGCTTGGAGAGTGGGCTTCTCAAACCTTCGTTGAGACCTCTCTTACATCAATAAACTCTTCGATCTGTTCTTAGGTAATTTCTCCTAGATTAGCTATAGTTTACTCTGAATTACTACCAGTGTCCTATCAGATAGATAAATAGATCTGAAATCAACTGATGGAAAGAGAGTGAGGTTTCATTCCAATTCTTTGTTTGGAATTAAGCTCGAAACTTCTTCGGTCACTCTTTTCTTACCAGGTGAGCTACTCCCTACTGGCATGATAATGTTATACGTAGTATATCGATCCAATACACACACATATGTACTATTCGATCTGATTTATTAGCTAATAATATAATCTATAGATAATACATTTGAGAGATAAAATTAAAGAAAGTAATCATTTTTTATTAATAAAATCTGGTAAATGTTCTCTGGCATTTACCCCACTGATTTTGGTGGTTTATCTTCCGGGTGAAAAAAAACTAAAATACTATCTACAACTCATATTATTTAGGACAACACCAAAATAAAATCTAATTTTTTTAAGTGTTATAACATTTCCTTTTGAACTCTGATTGTTACAAATTAAAACTTATATCAAAATTTGTAACTTTTTATTATCTTTCAAATGACACCAGTATTGAATATACAAAAACAAAAAATAATTTAACAATCTAAAAAACATACGTAGTATAATTTTTTAAAGTTATATAATTTTTTATTTGTACTCTGATTATTACAAAAAATATATTCAAAATCATAGCTTTTTATTATCTTTCAAATGATACCAAAATTGAATATTGAATATAAACAATGTTTTAACACTTTAAAAAACATTTGTTTTTAAAGTGCTATAATTTTTTATTTGTACTCCGATGCTTACAAAAAATATATCATACTACCTCCGTCCCGGAAACAAGTTCCCGGGTTGACATTCACACATTTTTAGAAAATAAATTTACTGAGGGGTAAATTTTACTGTTTCGACACTGTTTGGCACTGTGTTGCATTGTTTGACACTGTTTTGCACTGTTTTGATGTAGATAGTTTGTCAAATAAGGAAATGAGAAGTTTATTTTGGGACATCCAAATAAGGAAAGTGGGAACTTGTTTCCGCGACGGAGGGAGTAATTCATATCTTTTTAGTATCTTTTGTATGCCATTAATGTTGCATATATAAAAATAAAAAATAATTCTATTAATTTGTGCAATTTTGGATCGTTTTTTACCGTACACACTATTAATTTGAAAATACCAAACTTTGAAGGGGTGTGCGATAAGTACCCCAAACTTGCACATGTAATATATACCTCATCTTTATATAATAAAAAGTTATGTTGGCAGAATGATCATATAATTTTTCACAAATGTAACTTTATAGTGTTAAATACATAGTTTAAAATACACAGAACATTTATGATGATGCAATTAAAATTATATTGAATCAGATGTAATATTCTTTATTTGACAAATGAATTTTTAGATTGTTAACTACATCCAAACAAAGTTTAGAGTATTTTCAATTATGTAGTTATTGCAATTGATTTATATTTTCAAAAACCATAATCATGGTTAAAAATTAAATTTTATATACAATTTGGGTTATATATATTGCATATGCAAATTTGGGGTATTTTCTCACACACATTCAAAGTTTGAGATAATTATTATTTTCCCCTTGATCCAGAGTGATAGCTTAGAATAAAATAGCATAAACTCCATGACTTTTATTTATTGTTTTAATTAGCTAGACTATATCAGTCTTATATCAAAACAAAACATATCAAACCAGATTAAATCAAACCAGGTCATAATTCGACAGTCACAAAGTACACGTAAACAAACATGTATCAGATCAGTTCAGATCAAATCAAACTAAGTGAGACAAATCAGACAGACCGGACACGAAGATTTCAATCGAATTGACATGTGACGAACTGAAAACACACTTTCCATCAAACATAGATTAACACAATTGTACTCAAATACAATTTCACTAGACTCCTACTTATAGAAATTTTACTCAAACACAAATTAACACAATTTCACTACTCTTCTTACACACAATTTCTCCAAATCCAAAGTTACACTTTTGCCATTATTCCATATGAATTCTTATTTTTTTTCAAAAATTAACTACACACTTTTGTAATTTATTTATCTAAAGTGGGTGTAGTCAACTTTTTCAAAGATATTAGTCCTTTAATTTTTTAATCGATAATTCAAGTATATTTTGAGAAATAGTATTGATGAGTATATAATATAATAGGGCCATTGATTATAACTATGGTGTTAAAAATGTATTATTATTAGTATTTGATGACTAAATTATTATTAAAAAGTGCTAATTATTTCCTAAAATAAAAATAAGAACATTTACTAGGATAACCAAAGTTATAAAGGACAGAGGGAGAGTACTATCGTCATTTTTGAGTAACTTAAGGTCTCAATGAATCATATGGTTGTAATTCTATTACAAAAATATAATAATTGTAAAGTAAGTTAGTAGTGTAAAGTTTTTCAAAAGGTACACTTTCATTCTTTTTAACTCATATTAGTTATAGATTTATAGGTGATGCAAATTAAAATGTCGAGAACTCGAGATGTGGATATATTTTTCGTATTATATATACACGAATAGTCGAGAATTGAGCTTATTAGAAGTAGATTAATAATCATTAGATTATTATTATCTTCAATCATTCCTTTAAAATATGGTAAAATATGGAGCACGATAGCATGAAAAATGTGGAACGTGATTGATTTGATAATATGATGAAAGTTTATATTTTGTAAAATACGGAGTAAATGTTAGTTTCAATTGCCTCAACTTTATTTTTCTTTATTCCTCGATGATTTACATACCAAATTAAAATTAGTGTCTTGATTAAATTGCAAATCATTTAAGTGTCACTTGACTTTAACCGGGAAGTGTTTGAGATAGATAAATATAAAATTATTATTTCAATAACGGGTTGCAGTATAGCCATTATTGTTTAAATTGATGGTAATCATACTTAACCACTTCCTATTTGACTATAGAGGGTGGAGAAAAGTGATTTCATTGGACAGTTAAATTGATCTGGTACATGTCTGTTCTATGTATATTTAGCAAATATGTTTTTTTATAATTAACTTTTTATTTATTTTTAATTTTTTATTTTTTTTAAAAATAGGTTTTATTATTTTAATATTTTTTAAAAATATTTTTGATTTTTTATATTTTTTAACAATTTTTTGTATAAGTTAAAATATAGTTTTATTATTTTTTGTTTTTATTACAAATTAAAATATGATCATCATGCTAAGGATATATTAGTAAGATAGAGTATACGTTAGTCCTATTTTGAAAGGATAAATAACATAATCTTATTTGTGCATTCACGGATTAGTTTATTCCTATTTAGGGCTATTTTCCCATATAATAATCAAATCATTGTCCAAAATTTGTTATCATTGACCCAGAAAAGTCAATATGACAAATATTTCGGGATAGAGGTAGTATATATCAATTATATGCTGACACAAAAAGTGGTATTTAAGAGTTAGAAAAATAAGTTAGACTGTGTATAAATGGTACTACATAATTCTTTTAATCATGGATGTAACTTTAATATAGTACTACATAGTATTTGTTCATGAAAATTGATACGGGAATCATTTTTCATTTTTTAAATTTGCTATTTTTATTTTTCATTGAATAGTTTGACATATTTATATTTTAATTATTAGCTACCACTTGATGTGAGAATCTTTTTATAGATTCAATTCATTTATCGTTGTAGGTAAAAATTGCCTACAATGATAAAGTGCACTTAAGTAAACCTAGTGCAACCTAGGTTCGTGCGTAAAATAGTGTGTAAATAAATAAGGTGAACCCAAGTTAATGTAATAAATGTTGTTTGGATGAAAGTACTCTAGCTTATTTTGGGTATGTTTGGCAAATGACTGTTAGCTGTTGTTGTTAGCTGGTTGTGTCAGCTGTTTCCTAACAGCTGGTTGTGTTAGCTGTTTTGACCGGCTGGTTATGTTAGCTGATTATAGATAACTGTTTGGTAAAATTGGTTGTTTCGAAATGGCTGATAGAGTGTAAATTGAACCAGCCGAATGAAGAAGCTGCTCCCCTTAGCTTCTTCAACAATCCATTTTTTCAGCTTTTCAAACTCAACAAGCTAATTTTAAAAGCCATTTACCAAACATCATTATTAGCTTCTTTGACCAATCAAACAGCTGAAATGGGTCAAACAAGCTAAAAGCCGGCTGATAAGCCATTTGCCAAACATACCCTTTATGTTGAACGAGAATTTAACCTCCAAAACCTCCCACTTCGGAGGTTCTTCAATTTGAGTTGTTTCCAGGTTCTCGAGAGTTATGTGAGGTTAAGTCATAATCTAGGTTCTTGTTGCAAAAATACAAACAAACGAGGTTAACTAAAAATTAAACCTGCAATAATCTAGGTTAACCCCAAAACAAACAGGTCATAAAAGTCTAAAGTATATGCAATCTTTGTTTATTCAATAACCCCTTATTTTACTTATTACTTAATAAGATCAAATAGTTTCAATAACTCAATATAATGAAAAATGAATCAACCGCTACCTATCGTGTTATGTAAAACTTCATTAAAATCAGAATGTCACAAAATTATATTTTTCTAAACTCTTTTCTTTAAAAAAGAGATAGAAGAACTAATTTCCTAAATTCTAAATTCTGGAAGGGCTAATATTTTAAAAAAATGACTACACCCATTATTAAATAAATACTCCGTAAATTACAAAAATGTGTAGTTAGTTTTGAAAAAACAGTAAGACGAGATTAAATCTAATAGATTAAAATAGGCACTAAGCAACTTTTTATATTAGGTAAAGATCGATGGTTGAAAAATTACTTTCATTTGGATGTAACTGAGAGTTATTAAAATATTGGCCCTTTTAATTGGAAAATATAGACTAATCAAGAACATGTTTAAATATTTAGTTAAAATATAAGACATACTCATCATCAATAAATAAGAATATGAATTATCAAGTATCAACCGATTTTATAATCGAATGAATCAGCGAATTTCCATTAGTTATAATACCACATACATATACCAATGCACACGCACACACATATAACAAAAACAAATCCCGTGCACGACACCGTCGGCACGGGTGAAGATATTAGTATAATAAATAAATAAATAAATAAATAAATAAATAAATTGTATATATGCATGTTCTTACAATCCACTTTTAGGGTTCCGCATGACAACACCAACACAACCTCCTTGCCCATCAGTGCCGATTACCTACGTACGTGTCATTTTCAAATCTATATGTTACACACATGTCGACACTCCCCGGCCGTAATATAATGCTAATAACAAGAATTATATTCATGGATGGAGTCAAAAATATATTTACTTCACCGGTTATTAAACGGTGCTTATTAAGACCCGTGTTAATAAGCGGCGCATAAAATAAACAATGTTGTAAGTCCGTGTTTACTTCAAACGGTTTAAAACACCGCTTAACATTAAAATGTCCAAAATAACCCTATACATATATATACACACAAACATTCATGAACACAAGTATATAATATAATATGTGTACCCATACCCCTAACCCCTTACCCACCCTACCTTACCCCGACCCCACCCACCGCCTACCCCTACCCCCTACCCCTACCCTACCTACCTGACCCCACTCTAACCTGTCCCCACCCTACCCTACCCCCGACCCCATAGGCCCCTACCCCATAGGCCCGTAGGGGTAGGGGTAAGGTGGGGTCGGGTAGGGGTAGGGTAGGTGGGGTAAGGGGTGGGGTGGGGTAGGGTAAGTGGGGCAAGGGGTGGGGTGGGGTAGGGTAGGTGGGGTAAGGGTAGGGGTGGGGGTCGGTTAGGTAGGGTGGGGTCGGGGTAGGTAGGGTGGGGTCGGGGTGGGGTAGGGTAGGTGGGGTAAGGGTAGGGGTGGGGTGGGGTAGGGTGGGTGTCGGTTAGGTAGGGTAGGGGTGGGGTGGGGTAGGTAGGGTGGGGTCGAGGTGGGGTAAGGGTAGGGTGGGGTCGAGGTAGGGTGGGGTCAGGGTAGGTGGGGTAAGGGTAGAGTGGGGGTTGGTTAGGTAGGGTAGGGGTGGGGTAGGTAGGGTGGGGTCAAGGTAGGGTGGGGTCAGGGTAGGTGGGGTAAGGGTAGGTGGGGTAAGGGTAGGGTGGGGTCGGGGTAGGTGGGGTTGGGGTCGAGGTGGGGCAGGGATAACAATAGGTTACGGGCAAGGGGTAAATTCGGAAACTGGAAAAGCTTAAAGTGCCGCTTAATTAATACATGGGGGGTGGTATGCTTAATAAGCGGCACTTTAAGCACCTCTTTCGGTTAGTAAGCGGCTTTTTAAGCAGTGTGCGTGTTTACTTCACCTGTCTTACTAACCTAACTGTGACTTTAGCAGTGAAGTAAACGCCTCCTTAAGCATGTACTCAAAAGGTCGGATCATTTTGAGGCAATACTTAAGTGGAAAGACGTTACTTTTAAAATTTGTGAATATAATTAATAGAGTTTGGATCAAGTAAGAATATGATCTAAGATGAGAAATGATAATGAATTTGTAACATTGAATTCGTTGTTCAATTTCTGAAATTAAAATGTGCAATGCAAGAATGAAAATGATGGCGGCATTTTCATAAACAAAGTTCACTTTTTGTACCATTGAAAATATGTATTATTTTAACAAGAAATATGAAATTCCATGAACCTTCATATGCACTGTGTTGCATCACTCGCATTTCTTATAGGAAGAATCATTTTCACTAGAACCAAATTCATAATTATAAATCCGAATTATGCATTGAATTTTGTCCATTTCAATTTTAGATAGTTCTAATTTTCTAAGAGTGGTGAATTGTGGCTCGTATTGATCGAGTTATGAAACGTAATACTACGTATATCAAATCGAAAGTATATCAACATTCTACTTGCTCAAACTTTCAGGGGTCAGCTGACCACCTTAACCCCATCCAATGCCATCCCTGATTAGAGTGTGTAACGATAAACATGCTAGATCATCTAAATGTACAATTGAAAACAATAATACGCAAATCTTCTCATAAAAACACTAACTTTTAATTTTGGTTGTATAATTAATCTCAAGTCTCAACTATTGGCCAAGGACCATCCACTAATAAAAATCTGTGACCTGTTATAACGTGCTTCAACAAGCCACTTTTAAATGCAAACTAAACATAATCCATTTATTTCAATTTTGTTCATTATTCTCTAATTAATAATTCCAATCAAATCATTGATTTGGTTTTTCACAACAAAGATTATTTGTATAATTTTACGAAATTATATTATATCAGGTTTCAATTTAAAAAATATCTAAAAACTTACCATGGTTTAAAAAAAAAACTTAAAAAACGTACCATGCATTGATTTTAAACTTTTCATTCAAAAATAATTATGTTTTTATTAACTTTTACTTTTTTTTAGGTAATCAACTTTTACTTTTAAGATTTTAATCATCTAATTTTTCCGTTTTGTTTAATACTTTGCTTTGAGCTTGTGTTTATTTGTTTATTTTAAAAACTACCTAAAAGGTATATTAACTACCTCAATTAGACTACACACACATATGTTTATAAAAGTTAATTTTAAAAACGTTAAAGCTTAAATGAATATACCGTCAAAAAAAACTTAAATGAATATATTTATATACAAAAATTTAATTACCTCTTAGAAGTTTTAATATGGCGTTTTGTCAAATATAATTTTAAAAGAAAACTCATGGATAAAAATAGGATCATACCCAAAAAATTTCAAAAAAGAAACAAATAGGACATTTATGCGCTCATTCCCGTACCTAGTGGGCTAGTGACTCTTGTCACATTGATAGAGACCCGCTGCCAGTGACCTGTGGCCGTCGTTGCAGAGATCCGCCGGCGTCATCAGTGACAGTTACACGACCCGACAATTACCATTACCCAACTCGACAATTACAATAATTCGATTGACCAATTGCAGTTATCCGACCCGACTAGTTACAGTTACCCGACCTATTCCTATTTTTGTTCACAAGAATCCCTCAACTATTATTTGTGTCATTCTATGTTTTTATATCATTAATTAATAAAAAGTTTTACATAGAACAACAGATTTGCAATATACAATGACTGAATATCATGATATGATTAATTATATTTGATGTATAGAAGTATTTATGAATTAACTTACATCAACTAATGAAGGATCCACGGTAGCATACTCCTTTTGGGCTACATAAACACATTTAGTTTCTCTTGTTATCAGGAAATCAGAATTACGTGAGAGGGAAAGCATTCCTTGCGACAATGAACGGTATGCAGAAGCAATGGAATTCAAATGAGGGTGATTCGCTAATAAAGAGTGCAAGATGTCACGTGCCTGCACATCAAATTAAGTCCAACACATATTTGAATCAATTTGAATGTATTTTGATAATTTTATCATTAAATATATTCGAATTGGAGTGTGCATCATAATTGTGTGATGTTCTTTTAAAAGAAATAAAATCATATTTTATTCATTAAACCATTGTCGTCCGAAACATATATTCGTGTGTATTATTGTTATCTGTAAAATAAAATGATACCTTCCATTAGAAATTTAACGGAACGATTGAGACAAGAATGAAAAATTATCAAACCCTAATTAAAGTACCTCAGTAGTAGAAAAAACCTCATGGTGAGGGTGAGTACATATTGTTTCATCACCTTCTCTAACTAGTATCATGTTGAGATGGCCTCTATCGACTAGAATAAATATTTGGGTTATATCGATGAACTTTGAAACTATGTCTTAGAAAAGTATATATATAATTAAGATGGAGTAATATAATACACAATATAATGGTTCGTCCAATCGTTGTTAATTTGTCATTCTCATACCTCAATCCAAATTTATAGGACGACAAGAGTTCAAACTTACTCAAATTATTTAAGGTTTAATATTCTTTAACATTTCATGTAGTTTTAAGAAGCGTTCGTTTAGTTATTCATATTATATAGAAAAGTTGTTGAATTTGAGAACTGTTATATATAAATTATTGAATAAATAAGCTACTAACAAAATACTAACAAATTTCATCCATATATGGTTAATGAAATTCCGATCCTAAAGATGGCCAAAAATGAATAGTTTAATTAAATACGGAGTATACGTGTAATCAGATAAATTGGAAGATTCTAAAAGAGGGATAAATTGGGACGGTGGAAATTAAGAACAAAAACAAATTTCATCCATATATGGTTAATGAGATTCTTTTTTTTGGGGGGGGGGAAGAGTTAATGAGATTCTTAAAGTAGGCAAAAAACGTAGAGTTTAAACATACGTATGAGATAAAGACAAATAAATTGGAAGATTCTAAATTAAGAGGGATGACTTGGTATGGTGGCAGCTGTTAAGAATAAATCTGAAGCCTTCTTCACCAAGACATGCTTAATTAAATCGATGAATTATGTTGTGGGAGATTATTATATTTGAACTTGGTTAATTATTATTTTATAATAGTAAAAAAGAAACGGTGAAAGGAATCAAATTCTAACTAATTTTATACCAGCTTAAACTCAATTAATTAATTAAGTTCAATCATGGGACAATGGACAATTTCTATTTCCTTCTTAGGTGAATACTCCAGGAGTCCAGGTATATTATTTGGAAATATGCATGCCGTTATTTGCTTTTTGATCGGTAACTTTTCAATATGTCACAGATGACGACTCAAAAAGTAAGTATTCCATATTCGAAAGTAATTATGTGTTCCAAACTCAAAAGTAATTGACATGATCCATGCTAGAAATTAGCTCAGATTTTCTAAATACTACGTAAGTTTTAGAGCTGAAAGCTCCTCAATTTAATTACCTCACTTCACTACGATTATTAAGAGAGTATAATGACGATAAATTTGAGGGTCATACTTATTAGGATGTTTTTTTTGGACTATTTTTAATTAGTCCCAGATTAGATCAAACCAGATTTCTGTAGTTATAAAATACACAGAGACCAGACATTTACCAGACCAGACTAGACCAGATCAGACCAGCAAATTTCAGTCCAAAATAAAACATCCTAAGTAAATTATGAAAACTCCTAAATCTCTTAATTTAAAATTTTAATTACGTGAGGTCATAATAAAGGTGTGGGCAAATTATTGTAAAAAGATAAAACTTATATTTTTTGTTATATATAATTAAAAAAGAAATACATATTTTTTAAATATATAATGTAAATATAAAATAAAAAATGTAAAACGTAAACATAATATGAGATCTACACCCAAAAACCTAAAATATGTCAAGTACGTAGTCCATAATATCAAATATATACATAAAATACCAATGTAATTAAGTATATTTCCTTTTAGAACGATATTAAATCAGGACAGTATTAGAGACTCCAATAAAATTGACAAATTCAACAGAGCGATCTCCCACATAACAAAACATCGAATAACTGTCTGTCAACAGACAACTTGAATACACACAACTCAAAATTTATTGGAAATCGAAACAGAACAAAAGACGCCATAGCATGAGAACCAGATCCAATCCCAGCCTAGTTAATTTGTTTTTTCTTTTGCTTTTTCCTTTTCTGTTTTGTTCTCATTTCCCTTCTTGCTCACTACTCTTTCTTTTCTATCAATAAAATTTCCTCCTATAAAAAAATAATTAGTAAACATGTATATTGGATACATTTTTTATAGAGTATAAATATAATATATGGGCGGGATTAATTTTTTAAATTCACAAATCCTCACTTAAAAGGATTAATTTCAAAACAGAGTTTGCAACCCTTATCTACGGTTTCATCCACCAACTCACAAGTATACAAAAATTTACTCATGAGCAGAAAATTCGGTACTATCACGGTTTCTTCGGTGCTTAACAAATCAGGTGCTTACTTGAAGATTGCCAAGGAAAGGGGCAGTTACATTTTATTACCCCGAGGCCCAAACAACTCATACCTCAATGATTTTCTGACATTATTTTCTAATTTTGTTGGCATATCATCTTTAGAGCAGGAGGAACCAATGCTTTTGGAGCATGTGACTTCGACAGACGGAGAGGAAATCACCATCTCCAAGCTCATTTTCAATTTCGAAGTTCAAAGGGCATATGGCGAGAAGCAACAACCCCTCTCTTTTGAGAAGCAACAACCCCAAGCTCCACTTTTACAGGCTTACTCTGATGCATCAGACAGCTTTTATCATTCTGATGACTCTTTCTACACAGATGATTTCCTAGGACATGCAACCGAAAGCGATCGCCGTCCTCCTATATCGAACCAGGATGAAATTAGGAAGTCCAAATTCAACAGAGCGATTTGACGTAAATCAAAGTTCGTCACTGCCGAAAATTGCTTGCCAACAGACAATCTTAACACGCATCTCAAGATTTATAGGAAATCTCAGAAGAAAAAAAGGCGTCATTGCATGAGGACAAGATCTGTTGAATAATTAGTTTTGTTGATGACTAACCTATAGAGGAACGACGACACGTTTTAGATAATGGACTGAACTACCTTTGGTTCCTAACCAAGTGTTCTATTCTGCATGTGCATGGTTCTCTATATCTCACATGATCTAGTACATTTCCATATGTGATTAATTATCTCGGTAGAAATTCTATTACACCATTGAATTAGTTGACCAAATCAGTTTTTATATATATGGGACTTCTTGCCATTTATATCAAATAGAATATTTTCGGGTGATTGCCTAACATGTGGGTTGACTGTTCAAAGCCTAATTCCTTACCATAATCATCCTTTAGTAATTAATCATTTGATTAGATATTTTGAATAGTAGTGTCTAAATATGACCCGATTGATCTCTTAATAGGCAAGTAAATTGGTACCATGGTTTAATTCTTTAAGCTGCTGTTGAACAAGTTACTCTCCATAATAAATGTGCTAAATAATTTAAAATGCTTGAAGTCTTTTGATTGTGACTAACGAATATCTTTAGCTCCAAATATGACAAGTGATAAACAAGGAAAGGAATTCAAAATTTGTCATAACAAGGAAAGGAGCCAACGGTTATCAAAAGGAGAGCTATATATACACAAGCTGGAGGTTCATTCAAGGTTGCTCAAAAAGAAAAAGGATTCAAGGAATAATACTTAAGAGAGAAATACCAAGACGAAGGCGCCTGAAACTGCTAAGATGGAGTTCTAGATAGAGTTTTCCTTTTCCTCTCTTATTGTACTCGGGATATTAAGGCTTTGCTAAGTGTAGCTGCCTCGGGTCGGGTTAAGTGTGTGTGAGAGCTTTGAGATAAAGCCGAGAGGCTCTCTACCCAAAAGGTAGAGAAGCATAACTCTTCCTAGAGAGGATAGAGTTGGGGAAGCTCAAGGGTAGATTAGGAGGATCTCTTTTGTAATCTTTTCAAGGCTTGATTAGTGAAGTTGTTAAAATTCCTCCGAGGGAGGTCGAGGTTTTTTAATCCCTTTGAGCCAAGGGATTTTTCCTCGTTAAATCCTTGTGCACTTTGTTATTTTGTAATACCCTCTATCCCACACTAGAACTTGGCGAAAAACTGCCACAGTTCCACGAACACACAATTCACCCCCCCCCCCCCCCCCCTCTTGTGTTTCTAACCGTTTTCATCAATTGGTATCAGAGCCGGTCTTCACCACATAGAGGCTAATACCTTGGGAAGAGATCCGGCAAAATGAACACGGTTGACAGATTGGAAGAAGGGTACTCGACTCAACGACCACCATTGTTCAATGGCAAATACTATCAATTTTGGAAGAGTCGGATGGAAAACTTTATCAAGGTCGATAACTATCAGGTTTGGAATGTAATAGAAAGTGATGATAATACCATCACAAAGAGAAACGCCGAAGGTAATATTGTTCCTAAACCTAAAGCTGAATATACTTCTGAAGATTATGAGAAACTCGAGCATAATGCCCAAGCCCTTAAATATTTAATTTGTGGTCTTGGTCCTGCTGAACACAATCGGGTTTTAGGATGCAAGACTGCAAAACAAATGTGGGATTTGCTCGAGGTCACTCATGAGGGAACCTCACGTGTAAAAAATCTAAGATTGACATATTCATGCGTAATTACGAATTATTCGTAATGAAGCCAAAAGAGTCAATTAAGGATATGATTACACGTTTTACTAATATCATCAATGAGCTTTCAGCCCTTGGAAGAGAGATTACAGTGGAAGATCAAGTGAGAAAGATCTTAAGAATCTTGCCCCCGGTATGGAAGCCTAAGACCACGGCCATTGAAGAAGCAAAAGATCTATCCACCATGACGCTTGAAAACTTGACCGGATCTCTCTTAACATATGAACTGGGTCTTCAAGAAGAACAAGATGCCGAGAATGCTAGACGAGAGAGAGGAATAGCTCTAAAAGCTCGAGAAGAAGAAGAAGAATCCGAAAGTGAATCGGATGATGAGATGAGCATGTTTGCGAAACAATTTGGGAGGATGTACTGAAAGTTCAAGAACAACCGTACCAAACAAGGTAAAAGGAATACTCAATCATTTAATAACCAAGGTTGTTTTGTTTGTGGTTCCTTTGAGCACAGGGATAAGGACTGCCCACAAAAGAAAAATGAGAAAACCTACGACAAGAACAAGTCCAGTTCCAACCGGAAGTTCAGTGAAGACAAAGGCTTCAATAGAGATCTCAAGAAGGCGATGATGGCAGCATGGGGAGACTCTTCCGATGATGAAGAAGAAGAGAGTGAGAAGAATTCCAATCATGCGGGTCTATGTCTTATGGCCCATTCTGACGAGGAATCTGACCAAGAGAGCTTCGAGGTAAATGTTGAAAATTTCCTATCCAAGTTTGACTCTCTACCCAAAACCAAAGCTCGGAATTTTTTTAAAAGATTGACTATTGAGCTTAATCAAAATCTTTCTG